GCGGGGGCGGGTGGGCGGCGGAGCTGGGCCGGAGCGGGCGGCAGCGGCGGGGCAGGCGACGAGGCAGCTTCGCGACGGCGGGCGCGGGACCCGAGCCGGGGCCGGGCGCTGGCGCGTGTCCTCCCGCGGACCTTCCACTGGACTCCCGCGGGCCGCCCCGCCCCGCCCCCCGTCCCCCGCCCGCCCGCCAGCCAGACCGCCCGGCGGCCGCGTGCGAGGCACACCCTCCCGCGGCCGCGCGCACGCGGCCTCGCCGGGCCGGCCGGCCCCACGCGCCCCCTCCGCGCGGACGCCCGCCGCCCGCGGCCGCGGTCCCCTCCGGCCGCGCGTGGAGGGCGGGGAGGGCGGGGTGCGGCGGCCTAGCGGCTGCGAGGGCGCCCGCGCGGGAAGGCGGGCTCTGAGGGGAAGGTCACTTACCCGCTGCATGGCTTTCAGGATCAAAGCCAGCTCGTAGCGGGGCATGCCCGAACGCACAGCTCTCGGCTCCGAACCGAGCCGGCTCCCGGGACGCAGGAGGGCGGGGACCGCGCGGACCGGACAGGATGCTGGGCCGGAAGGTTCCCAGGCGGCGAAAGCACGCTCCGGCCGAGCGAGCCCGGGCTTTAAGGCTCTGGCAGCTGCGCAGACGGGCCGCCACGCCCCCTCAGCGAGCCACGCCCCCGTATGCCAAGTCACGCCCCCTCTGTAAGGCGGCTGCGCCGCCCCCCTCCACAGCCGCGCTCCCCGCCGCCCGCGGTCCCCGCCGGGACCCCCACCCTGGTCCCGCAGGTGCTGCGCTGGGGGAGGCACCGCGGGTTCGGCTGGGAACCTCCAGCGGCAGCCGCACGCCCCCTCCGACCTGCCGACGCCGCTGCCGCCGCGCTTGCTACGTACAGTTCTCGAACCAGCTGGAACTTTCCATGCCTTTCGTCTCATCCTGGGCGGCGGGCGAGCCTGCGCCCCCGTGTGCGCGTGCGCTGCGGTGCGGTCTGGCCCGTGCGCGCGCCCCTACCCCGCTACTTATCGGCGTGAGGGGCCTGCTCCGTGGCTTCGCTGCTCCGTGCGGGATCTCGGCCGGACCAGGGGCTCTCTCCGCCCCCGGCCGCGCACCCGGGTTTCGGAACGTTCCCGCTTTGGTCTGCGTCCCCCACCCGCACTCCGCGGGGGATACAGGGGCTGGGGGGCCGGCTACCCCTCGCGCCCTTGCCCACAGCTCTCCGTTCCAGTGCGGCTGCTGGCGCGGCTTCCCGGGGCCCTTTCCGCGGCGAAGTGGGCGCCGGGCGCAGGCAGTGGGCCGCCGGGTTCGGATCGTGCCCGTCCCTCGCCGGCTGCCTGACCTTGGGCAGGCTCCTACAAAAAGGGGATGTGAAGGGCACCTACTTCCCAGGGCTGTGATGCCTCTGAGTGAGTTGATGCTCTTAAACTGCTGAGAACGATGCCTGCACAGACCGGCATTTGTTGTTCTATGAGCACGACCTGACCCACGTGCTGTTGCTAAGGATAGGCTAAGACTTTGGCTCAAATGTTTACTGGGCGTTCATTTAGAGAACCAGCTGAATGCTTGGAAAGCCACTTAGTAACTGTCCGGGATCGTGCGTGCCCTGGAAGGAGTGAAGCCTCATCCTGCGTACCCCTTAGCCCCTCAAGCACGAACGCAGAGCTCACCTCCCTCCAGCCGTTGGCAACTCCTCTCCCTGGCAGGAGTTGTACTAAATGCATTTTTCTCCAGCTGCACTCTTTAGAGTTGGAGTCCCCTGCAACTGTAGGCTCTGCCCATGCTTGCCCCATTAAAATGGTCCGTAGGCGAAATGTTTGTCAACTTCTAAGTGCTTTAATAATAGGTAAAACTTAACTGAGCACTAACTATGGATCAGGCACCACGCTACGATTTTTACATTGCAATCAGGCAAGAACTATTATTAACCCCACTTTAGGGATTTAGAAATACAGGCACGCAAAGGTTATGATAGTAATAGAGACAAAGTTTGGATCCAGACTATGGAGACTGAGCTCATACTCTTATTCAGTAGACGTGCTCTGTGTGAACCAAGAATGAGTCCCTTTGTCACCTTATCCAGACAGCTTTCCATTTCTCATCCCCAACCTCCCGTCCATCACCAGAGATAAGGATGGTTTGAACACAAACTCTTCTGTGATACCTGGATTTTAACATTTTCCTTTCGTGGACTACTCCACCACACATATTCTTCCAAAGAGAAACCATAGAAGTATTAATACAAATTACCTGGTTAGTGTAATTTCGCCTTTGGATATAAAGAGTAGAATATTGCAAATAAATAAAATAAGGAAGTAAGGAATTTTCTGGACCTTCAGAAGTGAGTTACAGGTTTCCCAGGATGGTCCCTACTTCAGCTGTCCCTCCGGTTACCAATCATATGTCCCCGTTTGAATGAGAACATGTGGACCCCAAAGGAATATGCTGAGCCAAAGACCAGGGCGATACGAAGAGCTGACTTCAACTTTCAGCATTGCACCTACGAAGCGCCACAGTTTCCCCCAGTGCCCAGGGGTGAGTGAGAATCTGGCTGCTGCTTCTCCTCCTCCCTCTAACCTGAGAAGTAACAAGGAAATTAGCCTGATTGCCTAATGCTTCGACACAGCACCCCCAACGCTCCCAAGCTGGTGGCCGCCTGAGGGCTCATTCCATTTCTTCTGAAAAGGAGAAAAAGGAACACTGTACTCCTTTGATTATTTGAAATGCTGATTAAAACAGGCCTTCTGCAGCGAAACTTGTAAATTAGGAAGTATCCCATGTTCAGTAGCTGTTTACTGTTCCATCTTTTGTTGTTGTTAATAAACTTGACACCCCTTCAATTTTATTTTATCTATTTATTTTTTTAAGCACAGCTGCAGAGTGCTGGTGGGTTCATTTAAAAATAATAATAAAATCATAGAGAATGCTGCTGCAAATTTAGTGTCTTCCTACTGTAACTATAAATGTAAATTCACCAAAAAAGATTTTTGTGCAATGTATAGTCATCATTTAGAATTATAAAATATTTCTTCAGTATCCATGTATAAATTTTAAAAATTGCTCTGATGCTTAAGAATAAGCTTAACCAAAAAGGTGAAATATCTGTATACTGAAAACTACAAAACACTGATGAAACAAATTAAAGCAGACACAAATAAATGGAAAGATATCCATGTTCATGGGTTGGAAGAATTAATATTGTTAAAATGCCAATAGTTCCCAAATCAATCTACAGATTCAGTGCAATCCCTGTCAAAATCTCAATGACAATTTTTAGAGAACTTCTTTAAAAGAATCCTAAAATTCATGTGGAATTTCAAAAAAAACCCTGAATAGCCAAAGCAATTTTGAGCAAGAAGAACAAAGCTGGAGGCATTATAATTCCTGATTTCAAACTGTATTACAAAGTTATAGTACTCAAAACAGTACTAGCATAAAAACAGACATACAGACCAATGGAACAGAATAGAGAGCACAGAAATAAACCCACACATATGAGGTCAATGGATGATCTTCAACAAGGGTCTAAAAATACACAATGGGAAAAGGATAGTCTCTTTAACACATAGTGCTGGAAAAACAGGATATTCACTTGCAAAAGAATAAAATTGGACTTGTCTTACACCACACACACACACACACACACACACACACACACACACACACATACAAATCAACTCAAAATAGGTTAAAGATGTATATATAAGACTTGAAACCATAAAACTCCTAGAAGAAAACATAGGGAAGAAGCTCCTGGACATTGGCCTTGGTAATAATTTCTTGGATATGACACCAAGCGCAAAGATAGACAAATGGGACTGCATTAAACTAAAAAGCCTCTGCACAGCAAAGGAAATAATCAACAAAATGAAAAAGAAACCTACAGAATGGGAGCAAATATTTGCAAACTATATATCTAATAAGGTGTTAATATCCAAATATATAAGAAACTCATACTATTCACAGCACTAAATAAATAAATAATAACCTGATTTTAAAATGGGCAAAGGAACTTAATAGACATTTCTCTGCAGAAGGCATGCAAATGACCAACAAGTACATGAAGAGGAGCTTGACATCACTAATCATCTAGGAAATGCAAATCAAAGCCACATTGAGATATCACCTCACACCTGTCAGAATAACTATTACTGAAAAGTCAAGAGACAACAAGTATCGTGAGGGTGTGGAGAAAAGGGAACCCTGTGCACTATTGGTGAGAATGTAAATTGGTGCAGCCACTATAGAAAACGGTATGGAGGCTCCTCAAGAGATTAAAAATAAAACTCCCATATGCATATACCCTGAGAAAACCAAAATTCAAAAAGAGTCATGTACCAAAATGTTCATTGCAGCTCTATTTACAATAGCCCGGAGATGGAAACAACCTAAGTGCCCATCGTCAGATGAATGGATAAAGAAGATGTGGCACATATATACAATGGAATATTACTCAGCCATAAAAAGAAACGAAATTGAACTATTTGTAATGAGGTGGATAGATCTAGAGTCTGTCATACAGAGTGAAGTAAGTCAGAAAGAGAAGGACAAATACCGTATGCTGACACATATATATGGAATTTAAGAAAAAAAATGTTATGAAGAACCTAGGGGTAAAACAGGAATAAAGACACAGACCCACTGGAGAACAGACTTGAGGATATGGGGAGGGGGAAGGGTGAGGTGTGATAGGGCGAGAGAGAGACATGGACATATATATACTAACAAACGTAAGGTAGATAGCCAGTGGGAAGCAGCCGCATGGCACAGGGATACCGGCTCGGTGCTTTTTGACCGCCTGGAGGGGTGGGATAGGGAGGGTGGGAGGGAGGGAGACGAAGAGGGAAGAGATATGGGAACATATGTATATGTAAAAATGATTCACTCTGTTATAAAGCAGAAACTAACACACCATGGTAAAGCAATTACACCCCAATAAAGATGTTAAAAAAAAAAAAAAACTCCCACATGATCGGGCAATCCTTCTTCTGATTATATATCTAAAGGAATTGAAATCAAGATGTTAATGAGATACCTGCACTCCCATGTTCATTGTTGCATTATTCATAACAGCCAAGACAGGAAAGCAGTCTAAATGTCCATGAGTGGATAAAGAAGATGTGGTAAATGGGACATTATTCAGCCTTTAAAAAGAAGGAAATTTTGCCATTTGTGACAACATGGGTGAACCTGGAGGACGTTATGAAAGTGAAATAATCCAGACACAGAAAGACGAATACTATATGATACCACTTATATGAGGCATCTAAAATAGTTAAACGCATAGAAGCAGAGAGTAGAATGGTGATTGGTAGGACCTGGGAGAAGCAGGGGAAAGAGGAGGTATTAGTTAGTCAAAGAGCACAGTTTCAGTTCTACAAGAAAAAAAATTACTCTGTAATTTAGAGTCTCCTAAAGATTTGATATGGTATACGTTTAAGATTTGATCAGCCAGAAATTATAATACATTTTCAAGTAAGATTTTATG